TATAACTGTTTGTATGGTTTGGCTCAACAACTGCGGTCTGCAACACTCTGTAAGGTTCACAACAAGGATGCAGTGTAACAGTCGTAGAAAATAGTCAAGTACATTAAACTGATTTGTGTATTTATGTCTTGTAAGCAAGACGAGCTTTCTTTATTATCTTAAATGTTCTCAGGAACTGCATCACTGAACAACTCATTCTATATTTCAGTTCCTAACAACAGGAAAGCTACAATTACTGGAAGGACGATGCTTTGATTCCCCTCAAAGTTATAGTGTGTATTAACATGTACTTTGGTTCTAGATTGATCTTTGGTTCTTCTTTTGCAGGAATCACTTTGTGGGACTGTGATGACCTTCAAGATCATATTAGAGACAGACCACACAAATATAATAATTTTGAAATAGTTGCTTCTGAATCAATTGAGGACAAATCTTCAGCCCTGAATGTTGAAGCATCACTGAAGGCAAGTTTCTTGAGTGGACTGGTAGAGGTTGGAGGATCAGCTAAATACCTGAACGATACTAAGACTTCCAAAAATCAGGCCAGAGTAACACTGAAGTACCAAGCTACCACAAAGTTCCAAGAACTGTCCATGGATCATCTTGGAGGAGAACATGTTAAGAAACATCAGGTTGTGTTTGATCAAGGAATAGCAACACATGTAGTCACAGGTATCCTTTATGGCGCACAAGCCTTCTTTGTCTTTGACCGTGAGGTGTCTGTCAACGAGAACCTTCAAGACATTCAGGGCAACTTGAAGGTGATGGTCAATAAAATGACCTCCCTTTCAATAGATGGTGAAGGCTCGCTGAAAATGGAAGACAATGAAAGAAAAAACGTTGAGAAATTCTCCTGCAGATTCATTGGCGACTTTTTCATTCAGAAACCTCCTACATCCTTTCAGGAGGCAGTAGAGGTGTACCAAAGTCTGCCAAAGCTGCTGGAGGGCGGGGAAAACGCAGTACCAGTGAAGGTCTGGCTGTTGCCTCTGACATGTTTAGATTCTACTGCTGCTAAACTTGTCCGTCAGATAAGTATAGGGTTAGTTGAAGAATGTCAGAATGTCCTGGAGGACTTCAGTGACCTGGACATGAGGTTCAACGATGCACTGAGAACCCAAACTACACAGCAGTTCCCACAGATTGGAAAAAAACTCAAAACCTTTAAAAAGATGTGCTCTGTGTTCAAACTGGAATTCCAACGAACCCTGGCAAAGAAACTGCCATCAATCCGAGGAGGAGGAGAAGAAGAAGCTGTGCTCGCAGAGGAACTGAGGAAGACATGTTCTTCTCCTTTCAACAGCAAGGACCTGAACGAGTGGATGGACTGTAAGGTCAGAGAAATTCATTGTTTAAAGTCATACATCAACATGATGAAAAACACCAAGATCGTTCCATGTGAAAACGATCTTAATGAAGAAATTCTCAAAGCAGAGCATGCTGTGTGTTTTGTCTTCACCTCGCTGGGAAGTGATGAACCGTACCTCTCAACTTTATCAAACTACCTGAAACAAACACCCAAACCAGACGACGCCCAAGATCCACACCCTCCAGATCAATGGTACAACTCAAGAGAAGAAAGGAAGCAGTGCTGCATAAAGCAAAGCTCTTCAGTGATTTTGCAGAGGCCAACAAGGAGAACAAGAACATCACATTTCTGACAGTGGGTTTAACAAAGGAGACACAGAAAGGAGCCAGCATCTACCTTTATACAGACGGCCTTTCTGTCAATGAGAACTTTGAGCCGCCTTCAAAGCCTGCAACAGTAACAGGAAGTGATATAAACCACAGCAGTGTGACGCTGAACATTTCTCCACCCAGATTTGGAGCAGAGGACATCACCTCCTACTCTGTTGAGTACTGTGTCAGTGGAGAGGACGGCTGGAAACAAAAGACAGCATCAAAAGCTGAAGAAGTCACAGTGAGCGGCCTGAGTCCTAACACAGAGTACATGTTCAGATGCAGGGCAGAGACACCAGTAGGTGCCGGGCCAGCCAATGAAGTCAGTGGATCCATTCAAACCTTACCCTGCAGCCCTCCTGGAAAACTCCACGTTGAATCTACCTCACGGTGAGATATCAGTCAGCTGGGAGAAACCTGCTGAGCTCGGACAAGATGTCCACGTTTTGAGCTACATCGTGGAGTACGCCAAACCAGACCAACAGGTGAAAGAGGAAGATCTCCACTGGGAGCAAATGATGGCGGGAGCTGAGAAGGCGATCATTTCAGGACTTCAGCCAGAGACAGAATACGCTGTCAGGGTCAGGTGTGATTGTGGTGCAGCTGGAAGAAGCAAAGAAAGCATCGCTGTTAATGTCCGCACAACTAAACGTGAATTTGCACGTCTCACAGAATTCCTCATAAGTAAAAGCAAAAGGATCAACTCTGAATCTCCCTCAGTTTACAAACTGCCTCTGACAGAAGAAGACATGGAAGTTGATGGATGCCGGAGGTACAACTTTGGCAAAGAAAGCATGAGGCAAAATCGCACAATTATGCTTCTCGGAGCAACTGGATCTGGAAAGTCCACTCTGATCAATGGACTCATCAACTACATCGTTGGTGTAGAGTGGAAGGACCATTTCAGATTCAAGTTAGTTGACGAGGATCAGTCTAGATCTCAAGCTGAGAGCCAGACCTCTGAAGTCACTGTGTATAAAATCAACCACCAGGAGGGCTTTAAAATCCCTTTCTCTCTGACCATTGTTGATACTCCAGGCTTTGGAGATACAAGAGGAATACAAAGAGACAAGGAGATCACAGAACAAATCAGGAGGCTTTTCACTTCTGCAAAGGGAGTCAGTGAGATTGATGCTGTGTGTTTTGTCACCCAGGCCTCTCTTGCCCGACTAACTGCCACACAACGATATGTATTTGACTCTGTGCTCTCCATTTTTGGCAAAGACGTGGCAGAGAATATTCAGATGCTGGTCACCTTTGCAGATGGCAAGCAGCCACCTGTTCTTGAGGCAATAAACAACTCTAGGGTTCAATGTCCAAAAAATGACCTAGGGCTTCCAGTTCACTTCAAATTCAACAACTCAGCGTTCTTTGCAGACAACAGAAGCAGCAATGATCGGGCCTGTGATGATAATTCTGATGAGGATGAGGATGACTTTGACGAAATGTTTTGGAAGATGGGCATCAAAAGTATGGAGAAGTTCTTCACTGCTTTGACTAAACTGACAACCAAAAGCTTGCTCATGACCCAAGAGGTTCTAAAAGAACGGAGACATCTTGAAGCGGCCGTTGAAGGTTTGCAACCGCAAGTTAAAGCTGGATTAGCAAAACTTGAACAAATCAAGACAACCAAAGAAAAGATTAAAGAGCATGAAACAGCCATGACTTCAAATGAAAACTTTGTGATTGAGGTGGATGTTATTAAGCCAATCCAAAAACAGCTCACAAAGAAAGGAGAGTACATTACCAACTGCCAGAACTGTTCCATCACCTGCCACTACCCGTGTATGATAGCGGACGATAGTCAAAAACGTGGCTGTGCGTCGATGGATAGTTCTGGGAGGTGCACTGTCTGCCCTGGAAAATGCATTTGGAGTGTGCATTTCAACCAGACATACAGCTGGGACTATGTACAAGTCAAAGAGAGCCAGACACTGGAAGAGCTTAAAGCCAAGTACAATAAAGCTGCAAAAGGAAAAATGAGTGTTCAGGAGTTGATTGAGAGTCAAGAGGAGGAGATCAATCACCTCCAAGAGATGATATTGTCTCTCATGGATCAGTCATCTCACTCTTTAACTCGTCTGCAAGAGATCGCCCTGAGCCCTAACCCTCTGACCACTCCAGATTACATTGACATGCTGATTGAAGGAGAAAAGGCTGAGGCCAAAGTGGGTTACCAGGCACGTGTTCGGTCTTTGGAGGAGATGAGGGAAAAAGCCACAATCATCTCCAAAGTGGCCAAACGGCAAAAACTCACCAAAACGGAAGAGGAATTATCTCGAGAGAAACAGGAGACGCAAAAAAATGAAGGTTTCTTAAAGAAGGTTGGAAATTTCTTTGGATATTAGGGGGGGGGATGACATGAAGGCTCTTTAAAAAAAAGTGTTTTCAGGATCTAAAATCATTTGTAGACCTGAGCCATGTTATGACCATTACTAAAGTTAGCATGACGCATTAGCACACACTTTTTGTCATTAACAAGCTTTGTTAGATTTTAGAGATTTTGTCCAGCTGGTGGCGTCATTTATCAGGTAAAGAACCCCACTGACCTGCATTATGGAAAACTGCTTCTTATCGGACACACACAGTCATTGGTTGACCTCTGTCAGCCGGAGTATTGGTGCCTATAACGGTCACCACTCACTTTTGTTCTCTTATTTTTATTAATCAATTATTAAGATATTTCAATGTGTAATACATTTTGATTATATGCCAAACATTTATGTTTCAAGACAAGGTTTTGGACTTCCACAGTTATGTAACTTGTCTTGAAGATGTTTGCGGAAACACAAATGCTTTCTTGATTCACATTATTAAATTGAATGTTTTATTTGTCTTCAGTAGGTTAAAGCTTGTTCCTGTGATGTTCATCCTGATCAAAGGACAGCACAGACGTTGCAGCTTCATGTTTGCAGTTTGTGGAGATTAAACTTGTTGATCTTAATGTGATGCATTTACTGTATTTGTCTTCTTTTTTTGCTTATTGTTGAACATATAATACAAAAAGCCAGTAAATAATTGAATAAGATTTGACCAAGAGTCTAACAACAGTCAGCAGTGCTTGATTATTAAATGTAATGTGATTGAGGTGTGATAATAAAAGATGTTGTTGGATATGTCTTGTTCTCTTTCAGTTTCATCAGCTATATATTTTATTATTTAGCTCCTCACAACCCTAAGTGGTTCCCAACTGGGGGTACAGGGACCCCAAGTGGTACTTAAGGGGATTGCAGGGGTTGTGTAGAATTATTGAAATGTATTTCCACACAAAAAAACATTCTTAAATCAACGTTCATAATCCTGGTGTCCCGCTCCCAGAACTATCAAAGCTTATGAAAGACAAGCAGGCTCAAGTGTCAAATAAAAGATGTTGAAACTGCTAGAAGTGAGTCTTAATATCATTATTTTCAATCACAATAAGTGCAAATGTAAAGTTAAAATTCTGTATTGCATTTGTACTGAAAGCTCCCCTGTTATCCTGTTTTTCATCAATATATTTTAGTTCTCAGATATATAGAGAACATGTCTCTGAAGTGTTTGGCTCCAAACACCAAACAGATCATTGCAGCATTACCCATAATCCCCTCTGTTTCAGCCCTGTTTCCAAACTGCTGATTCGCTGTCTGTTACTTTAGATCAGGGGTCGGCAACCTTTTTGACCAAAAGAGCCATTTTGCTCCTTTTAACTAAAAAAAAATGTGTCTGGAGCCGCAAAACATATTTCATAGCTTGATAGCTAATAAAGTTGTATTTATTATTATATCAGACAAAAACTACAGTTTTTTTGCATTTATTAGGCTATTTATTACATGATATAAAACTGTTAACCTCTAATAAGAAACAAACAACTCCTATAAGGAGAATTACAAATAATACACAGGCCTACTTTAAAATAAATTAAACACAGCACTTGGGGAGTCCTCTGAACATTTGAAGGAAAAAAAATATCATTAAAATGGGCCCACTTTGAAATAAATAAAACATATAGCTGCACCCTAAAAAGAGTTAAAGGTAGGGTAGGTAAGAATGGAGAAACCAGCTCGTGTGTGCTAGAATTTGAAAATACACAACCGGAAAAAATATGCCTCTTCCTTCAGACTTTCTTACAGAGTCCCTCC